GTTCTAAGGGTCCTTACCAGCTCTGACATTCTAGGTTCTAACGGCCCTCTCAGCACTACCTTTCTAGGTTCTAAGAGCTCTCCCAGCACTAATTTCCTAGGTTTTAAGGGTCCTTCTGACATTCTCTTTTCCAAAGGTCCTCCCAGCTCTGACATTCTAGGTTCTAATATCTTTCCAATGTCTGACATTGTGTCTAAGCTCCCTCCCAGCTCCCATATTCTATGAGCTTGGTCTTGGTAACTGAAGGACTCTAGGTTCGAACAAACCTTGTCCCCTAGGTTTAGAATAGATCCAGTGACCTGGGCTCAGGACTATTCCAACTCAGTGTCCTGACTCTACCCTTGCCCCTTCTTCTCATCCTAGCTGAACATGGCCAAAGGCTCCTGGCCAGTCCTGAAGGGCTTCCAGGAGGGGCCCCTCACCTTTGCTCCCACCTTCAAGTTTGACGTGGGCACCAACTTTTATGATACCAGGTAAGACTAAGTCTGCTCTCAGGAGCCCATGATGATGGGGGGCAGGGAGGCCCGAGGAAAAGGGAAAAGGTGTCCTAGACCTGCTCAGACTTCTGTACTCCCCTTTCCCATGCCTTTCCCCCGGAAACAGCGCCAAGAAGCGGAAGCCTGCTTGGACTGACCGAATCCTCTGGAAGATCAAGGCACCAAGTGGGGGGCGGAGCCCCTCTGGCCGAGAGAGCCACCGGCTGCAGGTGACCCAACACAGCTACCGGAGCCATATGGAATATACTGTCAGTGACCACAAGCCTGTGGCTGCCCTCTTTGTCCTGCAGGTGAGGACTGCCCCCCCACCACGAGGCCTCTCCTGGACTCCTTGTAGTTCCTACTTCATTTCCCTTCTCAGTTTGGCTCCCCAGCTCTTCCCCTACTGCTCAATATCCCAGAAACCTTCTCCCTGTCCTTTCCCCTCCACCCACCAAAGCTAGGACCCAAGGATCTTCCTTGGTGGGACAGGTCCCATCCAACAAGGAAAAGAAGATAGGACCAGGAGTTCTCCTCTTGTATCTGCCATGAACTCACAGGCTAACCTCAGGCAAGTCGCCTCAGGGCCAGGGAATTGGGTCAGATCAGCAATTTTCAAATCATTCCACAGACTATAAATTGCAGACAAGGTATGACCTGCTTTGATATAGAAAGGGTTATCTCACCTGGGAGTTCCCTAAACCAATGAAATCATAGGCCTGGTCCAAAAAATCAAATGGCAAGAATGTTAATAATGCCATGGACAGATAAGTAGCAGTACAGCATTGGATTTGGAATCAGAGAAATCCTACCTTTGTCTCTTATGTCACTTATGACCAGTATGACATTGGTTACTCTCTGAGACTTGGGTTCAGAATGCACAAAATGAGGGCATTGGAATAGATGGCCTCTGTCGACCTTGGCAGTTCTAAAACCCTGATCCTTAGCACCACACAAGGTATGGTTTCTTCTCTTTTGTTCCAAAATGACTTAACTTCCCAACCCCCTTCTCAACTCTTTATCCCAGGGCTACCCCAGCCCTTCTCTCAGCCCCATCCTACCTTGGAGTAGCAAGCGCAGGTTCCATCAATATATTTCAGGTCCCAAGGTGTTAAAGGCAAAATTGGTTTAGGAAACCCAGACTAGATGGTGTATAAAGTCTCCATTAGATCTTAGCATTCTCCCATGAGTGACAATAATAACACATTCATATAATACAAATCATAATTATAGTTATTATTTCTATAGTTCTTCATGGTTACAAACACTTTTATTATGCCATTTGATCTGTACAACAACAGCACAAGTGAAGCAGGCAGGGAATCTTAACCCCATTTTCAAGGCTAGAAAACTGAGGATCAAAAAGGACGTATAACTTGCCCAAAGTCTCAGAAGGGAAATAACATTCTATGAATTCCCCACGGGGAATCTTGGGCAGCTGGCTGAGGCAGAAACAACCTTGGCTGCCTCCTTGGGTGAAGGCAGAGGTGGGGCTCTCCCTCCTGACATTCTCACACTTTCCAAGATAACTCTCTCCTCCCTTCCTCCGTCTATGCACCCCCTCCCCATCCCTGGAGACAGTTTGCCTACAGAGACGATGTGCCCCTGGTGAGGATCGATGTAGCCGATGAGTGGCTGAGGCCTGACCAGGCTGTGGTCCGTTACCACATGGAGAGTGTTTTCTCACGAAGTTCCTGGGACTGGATTGGCCTCTATCGGGTGAGACACCCACCTATGCCCCTGTGAGAGGAGTGGAGTAAAGGGGTAGGGCATGGCACAAGTGTTAGGGTGCCCTAAACCTGTCCCATGCGCACAATTGCGCACAGTCAAGCAGCAGAGTTGGGAGGGCCCATAGAGCTTAGCAGAGCGTGGAATGTCAGTGTGGGAGGGTCCTCAATGTCAGTGTGGGAGGGTCCTCAGAACAGGGAATGTCAGAGCTGGGAGGGGCCTTAGAAACTATAATAGGGAACATCATAGCTTGGAGGACCCCTTTTCATGAATTTCAAAATTAAACATCCAAAGGAAGGCTCATGAGCAGCAGATCCAGGGGAGGCTACTTCCAGCCCACCCCTTCTTCCCACTTGAGCCTGAGCCAATGGGCAGTGCATGATGCTAGCCACCTCCACTCACCCCCAGCTCCCCAGCCCCTCCTGGGCTATGCTGAAAGACACCCGGGCCTGGATGGGGCTTGTGGAGGCTGGAAGGAGGCCACAGTCTTGAACAGGGAGAAGGTCCAGAGTCCTCTATGCTTCCTATCCTGGCTCTGCCCCTTCTACCTGTGAGACTTCCTCCCCCAGGCTGTTTCCTCATCTGTAAAACTGGAGAATGGGGGCAGGGGGAGGGGGGTGGACCAGATGGCCTCTGAGAGCCCTTCTAGTTCTCAGCCTTCGCCTCATTTTCAGAGGCATTTAAGAAAATATAACAAAACTAAACCCCTTTTTCTCCTGTTCCCTGGGGTGAGACCGGGCTCTGTATAGATAACAATAGTAATAACAGCCTGTGGCACTGTCAGGGTTCTTTAGCATAGTGTGTTGTTATGTCCATTTTACAGATGAGGAAGGTGAGACTCAGAGGCATTAAGTAACTGCTCATAGTTACCCTGTTTGGTCTGGATCTGAGCTGGGATTCAAAAACTCAAGCCTTCTGACTTGGCACCTTCTGCTCTTTTTAAAAAAATTTTTTTTTCCATTAACAAGCATTTATTTTCTCTCCTTTCCCTATCTCTTCCCCACTGGGGAAAAAAACAAAAACAAAACATCCTTGTGACAAATATGCATAGAAAAGCAAAACAAAGTCCTACATTAGCAGCATCCAGAAATGTATGTCTTGTTCTGCCCCCAGAATCTGCCACCTCTCTATTAGGAGGTGGGGAGCAGGCTTCCTCGGGGTTCCTCTGACGTGGTGGTTGGTCATTGCAATGGTCAGGGCCTTCAGCATGAGGGGCCCAGCCAGAGTCAGGGCCCACAGACCTCAAACAGACCAACAGACAGAGGGAGGCAAGCCTGGGTGAAGAGCAGAGTAGACAGTCAGGGGTGCCTGGCTCTGGTGAGAGTGCACCCCTCACTCTGCCTCCTCCCAGGTGGGCTTCCGGCACTGCAAGGATTACGTGGCGTATGTGTGGGCCAAGCATGAAGACGTGGATGGCAGCACCTACCAGGTGACCCACCCCTCACATTCCAGGGGCCGGTCCTATGGCAGTGGGGCCGCGATTGTGTCCTGGGACTCTCCTGCCGCTCTGAGGTCCCTCTATACATCCTTCCCATCTCACACCTGCACACATCCCCCCTCGAGTGTGTGTGCGTGTGCGCAAGCGCATACACACACACATGCACACACATGCAAACACACACCTGGGATCCAGCCTTCTGGGGAGCTAGGCTGCCAGTATCACCTAACACCCTCCCCTCTTGTCCCCCACAGGTGACATTCAGTGAAGAGTCTCTCCCCAGGGGTGGGGGCGAGTTTATACTCGGCTACTACAGCCACAACCAAAACATCCTCATTGGGGTCACTGACCCATTCCAGGTTAGAGGTTGGGAAGGGAAGGGAGGAGAGGGAGGCAGGAGGAGAGAGAGGGAATGGGAAGGGGGGAAATAGAAGGAAGGAGAGAAGGGGAGGGGCTAGGAGGCAAGGGAGGATGAGGGAAGGGACAGAGGGAGGAGAAGATGGGGGAGGGGCCAGGAGGGAGGGGACGATAGGGGAGAGGGATAGGAAGGGATGAGAGCATGGGGGAGGGGCCAGGAGGGGGGGGAGGAGGGGAGGAGGGGAGGAGGAGAGACCCAGCACAGGAGGGGACCAGAGAGAGGGGGTAAGAGGGAAAGGAGTAGGAACAGGAAGTATTCCAGGTACAGGGAAATCTATTGGTGCAGAAGTTCAAGTCAGGGGACCTGAGTTCAGATTCTGACTCCAACACTTACTGGCCATGAGACCATAGGCGCTTGTCCGGGGCTGTGTCCTTCCGTCTAAGAACGAGACTGGACAGACTTGGAGGCTGTGCTAAGTCCCTGATCGTGTGGATGGAGCCGGGTTTGGAAGGGCCGAGGGCGGAGGGGCCTGCGAGGGCTGGCGTCTGCCTCTCGCCCTCTGTGGCTCACGCCTTCGCTGACCTGCCCTCCCTGCTGCCCAGATCTCCCTGCCTGCCTCGGATGAGGGCAGCAGCCCCACGGACAGCTCGAGGGCCAGCTCTGACGGGGAGGACGACAGCACCCTGGAGCTGCTGGGCCCCAAGTCCCGGAGCCCCAGCCCCGGCAAGATGAAGAGGCACCGCAGCCGCAGCCCCGGCCTGGCCAAGTTCCCCGGCCTGGTTCTCCGGCCTTCGTCCCGGGAGCGGGGGACGAGCCGCAGCCCCTCCCCGCAGGGCCACCGGCCCCTCAAGCCCATCAGCTCTGGGCCGGGCACGGGAACGAGGGCCAAGGACAAGAAGGGGAAAGCGGGCGTGGGCCCCGAGGAACAGGATGCCCCCGTGCCCGAGATGCCCGGGCCCTGGAACCTCCCCCTGCCCAGCTCCCTGCCTCGGCCGGTGCCCTGCACCCTGGGCCTCCTGCCTTCCCTGCGGCTGGAGCCCATCCTGGGCGGCCAGTGGCGAGAGGAGCCTGAGCCGGAGGGTCGGATCAGCCCAAAGAGCCCCGGTCGCCCCCCGCGGAGCCCTTCCCCCAGTCCCAAGAGCCACCAGAGGATGGAAGACGGGCCCCTGGGGCCCTGAGTGCCAGCCTGCGTGTGTACCCTCTCTCCGAGCCGCATCCGTCCACCCCACCCATGGCTCCCTCCCAAGAGTCCTGCTGGCCGTGGTCCATCCGCCCTACCCTGTAGGCAGGGTCGGGGGCCCCTGCGGGAAGTGTCGGGCTGGCTGGGGTCTCTACCTCCGCGCTGCACCGTGAAGAGGGACCCTCCCTCCCTCTCTCCATCCTGGACCCTAACCTGTGACAATCACTGCCCCCTTTGCTTTCCCCAAGCCCGGAGCTGGGTGCAGGGGGGCTGGGGGCTGTGCGAGCGCCGGCTGCCGGCCATCATCCCGAGGGTTGTTTATTGGGAATAAAAGTCTCACATCTCTTCTGAGCCTCTCGTTTGGATGGTGGATGGGGCTGGGCTTGGGGTTGGTGGGGTATAAGTCCAAGGATCTCAGAGCCAGACGGAGCTGTAATCTCCCCTACAGCATTCCCCGGGAGGAGGCATCCGGTCTCCCACTTTTAGACCTCCATCAATGGGGAGCTTACTACCTCACAAGGGAGTCCATTCCACATCTGGCTGGCCTTAGCTGCCCCTTGTCTCTGTGCCATTAAGGACGGTAGATTGGGAGCAGGAAGGGATTGTCTCGTCAAAGTCCCTTTTTTAATTTTTTTTTTAACAGATGAGGAAACAGATCCAAAGAGGTTGGGTCACAAGCCCATGGTCTCACAGGTCATGAGTGAACAGCGGGGCTGGCTGGGATCTGAACCTAGGTTCTCTCATCCCAGATCCATCAAAGATGGTGCCTGGTCCTGCCTTCTAGAGCCAAACCTAATTTCTCTTCCCCACGACCACTCTTCAAATACTCAAAGAGAAGGGGTGGGGCAAGGGGGAAGTGGGAAACACCATCTAAAGGAAGGAAAGCAATGAGCATCTATTAAGCACCTACTATGTGCCAGCTACTGTGCTCAGGGCTTTACAACCCTCTCGTTTGATCTTCACAACAACTCTTCGAGGTAGATATTATCCCCATTTGACAGATGAGGAAACTAAGGCAGACAGAGATTAAGAAGTGACTTGCCCAGGGTCACACAGCTCGTAAGTGTCTGAGATTGGATTTGAACTCAGGTCTTCCCGACTCCAGGCCCATATAAAGAATGTCATGCTGGACCTTGGGTATCAATGATCTTCAGGTGACTTCCTAGGGCTTCCAATCCTTTTCAGGATGATTTTCCCCCAGGATACCTTGAGTTTTAACCTCAGGGCTTCTAATGAAGTATTCTTAATTTGCCACACATGAAGGGTACGTTGTGTCCAATGCACAGTGTGGATGGGGGTGGGGTGGGAAAAGGGCTAGTCCAGGTGTGTCCAGGTGTGTCCAGGTGCATTCAGGTGTATTGGCACCTTCTCCGTGGAGACCTGCTTGGGGCACTGAGTGTTAACTAGCTTGTCTGAGGTTGCACAGCCTGTAGGAGTCAGAGACAGGCTGCAAAGGAGGATGCTTATCTACTACAAAAGTGAAAAAATGGTCCCTCAAGGAGCTTATGTTCTTCCATCCTCTAGGATGTTCTCCTACACATCCGCAGATGAGTAAATGCAGAAGAATTTGAGGGGGAAAGGTTCACTAATAACGAAGGGGACTGATCAGTAAACATCGATTAGGCACCTACTGTGTGCCAGGCCCTGGGGATAAAGACGAAAATGACAGTCTTTACCTACAAGCTCCCCCTGGAAGGTAGAAACAACATGTCCACATCTAAGACGAGACAAAAATAAATTGAGGGTGATTTGGTGGAAGCCTGGTTACCTTGGAGGACCAGGAAAGGGCTCATGCTGAAGGTGGTTCTGTAGCCAGTGATGCAGAAAGAGGTGAGGCAGGAGGGCATTCCAGGCATGGTGAACAGCCAGTGCAAAGACATAGAGGTGGGAGATGAAGGAACCAATGGACCAGAGTGACTAGTGATTGTGAACTCAGGCTTCCCTCACTGTACCAAACTTTACAACAAAGTCACTTGCCTGTTGCCTCATGACTGGGAGAAGAAATTAATCTGGATAAAGCAGTTGTCCCTCCATTGACAAACACCCAAAGTGTGGTGGTCCCCCAATGACTTTGTTTTTTTTCTTTTTCTTTTTATTTATTTATTTATTTATTTTTTTGGCTAGGCAATGGGGTTAAGTGACTCACCCAGGGTCACACAGCTAGTAAGTGTTATATGTCTGAGGCCAGATTTGAACTCAGGTCCTCCTGAATCCAGGGCCAGTGCCTCCAGTGGCTTTAAACCTGCATCATAAGCCCTGGGATTTGGCTCAGCATAAAAGAAAGGCCCACAGACCACTAGGAACATTGGTTCATCCGGTGTTGCTGGCAAAATACCCCAGGAAACTCACACCTGGGCCAATTTATCAAGACGCTGGGTCATTTGGTTCCACTTTGGAAGTGTCACTGAAAAGCTAGAGAGGATGAAGAAACCGTGTGCCAATCACTGTGTGGGTACCAAGACAAAGCCAGGGATTCCTGCCAACCAGGAGCTTCCATTCTATGGGGAGAGTGAGGGTGCCGATATCCAGTCAATTAGAGGTGGGGGGCGGGGTCGACACCAGAAATGCAGGAGCCCAGGATAGGCTTCCCCAGGAGGCGGCATAGAAGATGTTGTTTGTCCTTCGTTCTAGAGGAGAATCCTGACACCAGGGAGGTGACGTCGTGACATGCAAGTGAGCTGGATGTAAGTGAGATCGGTGACTAATCTTTGAAGGAAGCCAAGGGTTCAATCACTCCCAAGTCCCCAAGACAATTCCTTCCTATAGAGGCTGTCCTGGGAGACAGGGATTAGCCCCTTTCTGTTCTTCCTGAGGTTAGAACTACTAGTAATGAGTGGAAATTACAGGGCATTCAAAATGAGCAAAGACTTCCTAGCAATTAGAGCATTCTCACAATGGAATGGGTGGAGTGTGGAGGTGATGAGCTCCCCATCACCAGAGACCATCAAGTCAACACTCGATGAACACTGCTCAGGGATGGGAGGGGCCCTGGAGACCAAGGCCAGCCCCCTCCTTCTACAGATGGGAAAACTGAAGGTCAAAGAAAGAAAGAAAAGCGTGCCCCCAAGGTCAACCATTGGGAAACCTCCAAGGGGAGATTTGAACCCAGGTCTTCTGACCCCAAGTACTGGGCTCTGTCTATTGTGCTTTCTTCTTTAGGAAGCAAGTAGACCAAATCCTCTACTTCTGTGGTGAGCAGCAGATTGGGTAGGAGGTCCTGTGTCTAAGGTCCTTCCCATCAGCAACCACTGAGGCTGGGGGCTGCCCTTCCGGTCACTGAGATGCAAGCCCCACGCAACCTTCTCAGTGCCTTCTGTGGTGCAAGAGGGGAGGAGGATAAGCTGGCACTCACGGACAGCGAGGGGGGGCCGCTTCCCAGACACTGAGGAGTCACAGAGTGAAACAGCGGTCTACTCTGTGGAGGGGTCGGGGGAACAGGGAATGTCAGAACTGGGTGGGGCTTCTATTTTATCAGGTCCAACTCCATTTTGCAGATGGGGTCACTGAGGCTCAGAGTGGAAGACACACAGCTGGGTTAGATGAAGAGATACACTATATATGTATACATCTACATGTACACACAAGTGTGCGTGTGTGTGTGTGTCTATCTCAGAGCTAGCACTGGCTCCCATGGGTGCTAACTCCAAGGTTCAGGGCTGTTACCAGCCCACAGGGAGACCAGGAGCACCAGGTCCCGGGTGGGGGTGAGCAGGCACAGTCCCTGGCCTTGCCCCCCAGCCCAAACCCACCCCAGCTCTCCACAGTTCAGTCTCTGTCTATTCCTAGCCCTGGACAGTGCCTCACAAGGTCCTCCAAGGTTGAGCCCTGGGGAGACAGATGATGTCTCCTTGTCTCTATCCCCCCCACCCCACAACAGATATACATTCCAGCCCTCAGTTGGGCTCAGAGCATCCTGAACCGAGGGGGCAGGAGCAGGGGCCTTCCTGCCAGGGACCTTGGTTTTCTGGACAGACGGACGCCAGATGCTTACCCCAGGAAGCTCGGATGTCAGCCAACAAACAACCTTTATCATTACATCCTGGGTGAGAGGGCAGCGCCCCCCTGGCCCGAGGCAGCTGCCAGCTCTTCGCTTTACAATATTCCAATATCAACAACGGTATCGGATGGGGCCCCCAATAATTTACCCCCCTTCCCCTCCCCCTGCCCCAGGCAGTATCCCAAGGGCAAGGGCAGCCCAGCAAGTTAAACAGTAGGGGGTCGAGGCATCAAGGTGTACTCTGAGCATGGAAATTGAAAGTCCAGAGTCAGGAATATGCCTTTGGAGTAGGGGGCTAAAGCTATACCATCAGGGTATACACGAGAAAGGATCATGGCTCCAGACCTGGGGGGGGTGGGCGGCCCTCAGAGGCCATCTAGTCCAGCCCCCATATTTTACAGATGGAGAAACTGAGGCCCAGGATGGTGAATCGACTTGACCCAAATCGTCCCATCCTTCACTTTACAGATGGGTAAACTGAGGCCTATCCAGGTGAAGGAACTTACCCATGCTCGTATGCAGAGTCGCTGAAGAGCTAGGACTGAACTCGGGTCTCCTGCCTCCCAGTCCAGAGTTCACTCTGTTGTGCCAGTGACTGTTTGCCCACCATTAGCAAAGACAAAGACCTCAGTCTTCTGTCCTGTCCGAAGAAGCCAGCCCAGGCTGCCTGGCGGGGGGCAGTGATGCCCTCTAGTTCTCAGGGTGATGCCTTGTTTGTCCTGAGTAGGAGGGGCAGATGCTGCCCAAGAAGACAGCGGATGGGACCATCCCCTGCCAGTCAGCACAAAACCCCAGATGGGCCAGGCACACCCCTGGGGAGGGCTGGGCTCCTGCTCAGGTATCAGTGGGACCCTGGAGTGAGGTTCATCTGCACATATGACCCCGAGGCTGCCAGCGGCTGCCTCCCCCATCACTGGGGTGCCCACCGCACAGCCGAAACCACCTCACGGCATTTGTCATAGAGAGTCACGGCCCCTCGAAGCTCCTGCCGGTGCCCCCAGGCCCCTAGGCTCCTCTCTCTTCTCTTCATTCTCTTCTCAGCCTTCCCTGTGGCTTTGCTCAGCCATCCAGCCTGCTTCTTCCACAAACGCCGCAGGTACCTGGCAGGGACCACCACAGCCCGGGGGTCATCCCTGCAGCTAGGCAAGAAGGGGCAATAGGTCAGCCGGCATCTCTGAACCCTAACATGTCAGAGCTGAGAGGACCCTTAGAACAGGGGATGTCAGAGCTCTGGGGGAAGGGTGCTTAGAACAGGGAATGTCAGAGCTGAGAGGGGCCTTAGAACAAGGAATATCAAAGCTGGGAGGGAACTTAGAACAGGGAATGTCAGAGGTCTGGGGGAAGAGTGCTTAGAACCAGGAATGTCAAAGCTAGGAGGGGCCTCAGAATAGGGAATGTCAGAGCTGGGGGGGGGGCCTTAGAACAAGGAATGTCAAGGCTGAGAGGGGCCTGAGAACAGGGGGTGTCAGAGCTGGGAGGGGCTTAGAACAAGAATGTCAGGTGTGAGGGGCCTTAGAGATCATCTACTCCACCATCCTCATTTTACAGAGAAGGAAACTGAGGCCCAGAGAGGTTCCATTCCTTTGCTAAGGTTGTATAGCTAACATGACTCAGAGCTGAGAATAGTGAATGTCTAGAAAACAGTGTCAGAGCCAGACAGAGCTTCAGAGAGAGCTAGTCCAAAGTCCTAACTGTGTAGATGAAGGAAGTAAAGCTCAGATGGGGAATGTGAATTTTCCGAGGTCACAGAGGGTTGGTAGAAGAGCAAGCACTGGGGGTCAGGCCTTCCTTGGGTGTCCCATTGTTGGCACCAAGAACCCCAAAGGTTCTGCCCCTCTATGCCAAGTTCACTACTGAAGGCACGGAGGGCCTCTCCTGCCACCTGCTGGGCAAGGAGCCGTCAGTCTCCACCGCAGGGACAAGAAAGGCAAGGCAAAAATAGGAGAGCTGGACAGCAGAGGACTGAGAGTCCCGAGGGACCTTAGAGGTCATCCAGTCCAGCTTCTGCCTCGTACAAAGAGGAACGTGGAGGCCCAGAGAGAGCAGGGATTTGCCCAGGCTCACCCGGTGACTAGCAAGGATTTGCACTGAGGCCCAGTGTTCCTGCACCGCATCACTCATCCTCAAACCCAGCATCTCTACAGTGGCACTCACCCATCGCTGGGTTCACAGTCCTCAGGCCATCTCAGCTCAAAGCAAGTCAGAGCCAGCAGATTCCAAAGTTTGTCCTCCACCTCATTGGGACGCTTGGTCCTCAGCACCTTGGCCAGCCTGCAGGGGCGAACACGGACTGAGCCCTTCCTGTTCGTCCCTACCTTCCTCCTTTCTTCCCTCCCTCCAGCTTCTGGCCTCCCAGCCCCCTCACCGTCTTGTACAGTTGCAGTGAAAGAGGGTGTGGTTCTCTGAATTGTACACCTGGTACTTGGTCTCCCCGGGTTCAATCTTGTGCTGACACTGGTCCAACTGCCAGTAGCACTGGCAGGCCTCTGAAAAATCTAGAGGTAGAGAAAGTAATCTCTGAGGGACCAAGGAAGGGGCTGGGGTCAGGTACAGACAAGACCCAAAGCATAACCCCTTAAGATAGATGAGCATTAAGGTAAACCTATTCAAAACCTACACACTTAGGAATGCACATCTAACACACACACACACACACACACACACACACACACACACACATAATCCAAATCACAGATAACCACACAGTAAACAAACACCCAATGGTTACAGTAGAAAGAGCATGGGCCTTGGGCCTAAGGTGTGATGGGTTCAAATCCCCTTTGATGCTTATACCTGTGCCACCTTGGGCAAGTAATTTCAACTCACTGGGCCTCACTTTCCTCATCAGTAAAATGAGGATGACTTGAACTGGCTAGCCCCTAGAGCAGGACACTTCGGTGAGACCCAATATGCTATTAAGCCTAGGTTTAAATAACCCTTCTAATACTTACTACCTGCATGGCCTTAAGCAAGTCAAATCACCTACCTGGGCCTCAGTTTCCTTATTTCTAAAATGAGGTAGTGCCTGAGGACACTTCCATCTCTAAATCTATGATCCCATAAGACCTGGGTTCAAATCCCAGCTCTGACAATTACTGCCACTCTGACCTTGGCCTCAGTTTCCTTATTTGCCAAATGAGGGGATTGCTCTAGGTGGCCTTTGAGGTCCCTTTGAAGTCTAAATCTAGAATACTATGACCTTCATGACACTCAAGACACACAAACATTCAGCCGTGTCACTCTTCGTGACCCCATTTGGGGGTTTCTTGTGGTTTGCCATTTCCTTCTCCAGCCCATTTTATAGATGAGGAAACTGAGGCAGACAGGGTAAAGTGACTTGCCCAGGGTCACACAGCTAGTAAGTACCTGAGGCCACATTTGAACTCAAGAACAGGAGTTTTCCTAACTCCAGGCTGGGTTCTCTGGGCACTATGGTGCCCCCAGCTGCCCTTAAGGACACATACTCAGAGATATAGGTATATACACACTCAGATATGCACACACACACACACACACAATCACAGCCTTGCCTCTACACACTCCTTCGTTCCACTGGCCTTTGTACACACCAACTCCTGCATATCATGTAGTCACAATAAATTCCAGATTCCTGTGGAGGACAACGCAGCAGAAATCGCCTTGGTTTTGTAGTCCAGAAGTCCCAAATTCAAATTCTGGCTCTCCCACTTACTACCTGTGTGGCCTTGGCAAGTTACCTCCCCTCCATGAGCCTCAGTTTCCTCATCTAAAATCCCAGGGTTGGTCCAGGTGACCTCCAGACGGTCCCTTCTGTCTCTGACCCAGCGACTCCACCATCCCATAAAGCAGTCAGACGCAGCCCTGCCTGCTGCCCACAGGTGCAGGGCTGAGCACCCAGGAAGTGTTTGCTAACATGCTTCACTGAATCATACTTCACTCCTACAAAGTGACAGATAAAAATAATCCCTGAATCACAGAATCATAGGATCTCGGGGCTGAGCAGGACCTCAGAAGTCCAACCCAAACCTGAACAAGAATTCTCCCCATAGAATGGATCGATTAAACAAGCATTTATTAATTACCTACTGTGTGCCAGGCACATAAAGAAAAAGAAAAATCTGTCCCTGCCCGCAGGGAGCTGACATTCTAACGGAGGAGATGACATGTGCTGATGTAAATAATCGATAAGCATTTGTTAAGTGCTTACTGTATGCCTTGCACAGTGCTGAGAACTAGGAATACGAGGAAAGGCAAAACCCCAGCCCCTGCCCTCAGGGAACTCCCAGTCTAATGGGGGAGAAAACATGTAAATAACTGGGTACATACAAGATATAAACACCATATGCAGATGATCTCAGACTGAGAAAGGTGTCTTGCACAAGATGGTGTTTGAACTGTCTTAGAAATGGTCCTCCATCCGCTGCCCAAAGACCTCCAGCACCTCCTGAGGCAACCCGTCCCACTTCAGGACATCTCTCATTGTTAGAAAGTCTGTCCTGATTTTCAACCTCGGTCAGCTTCCCTCCACCCCCCTCACTCAAGCACAAGCCTTCACAAACACACTCAAGCAAACACACCTATGCACACACATCAGTAACAACAGCTGCCATACACTTCTGAGGTGATTTAAGGTTTTTAAAGCCCTTTACATCCATTATCCTCTTTGAGAGTCACAAAGGATCAAGCTGAGGTGGGCTCTACAGTGTTTATTGCTCCCATTTTACAGAGGAGGTTACTGAGGCATGGAGAGAGTCACACATCTCCGTCACCCGGGGGTCCACAGGCACCTTAGCGATCCCACCCCTTCAGAGGCTACTCACCTGGGTAGATCTTCTTATCAACTGGGTGGAGACTGGGCTTTGGACGTGCATCATCAGGAACTGGGGTCTCTGGTGGTCCCTGAGCTGCAACCTCTGTTGGGCCTCTGGCTGCTTGTCTCCCACCGGGCCCGTGGCCTCTGCCCTGAGGACTCCCCTTAGTGTAGTGGTCCCCAGCCACCCTCACCTGCTTTCCTGGGGTGGTCACCAGGCTGGGAGGCAGGCCAGGGAGGGTTGGAGATGGTGGTTGGGCACCAATGTTAGCTTTCTGTGGACTGCTGGGCAGAGGTGGGGAAGGATGGTCATGGGACCCGGGCCCCTTGGGCCCTTTGCTCTGCATTCGATGCCTCTGTCTCTCCTGCCTCCTCCCGGAAGGCTTCGCTCCGTGGCCGGGCTGGGTCTGAGTCACATTATAGCGACTCTGTTGTAGAAGTCTGGCCTGGGGAATGGGGCCATATTTCTTACACCTAGTGAGGAGACAGAGGAAGGAGAGGAAGATCCATAGACTCGTAGATTTCCAGCTAGAATGGCCCAAAGAGGCCATCCAGTCCTGCCCCTTCATTGTACATCGTACAAGGGGTCTTCGGGTCTCTGCCTGCACTTTGGGGACTCAGCCAAAGCTCAGAGAGCCACCTCCCCGGGGTGCCGTAGCCCAGAGGAAACTTTTGATAAAAGTTTCTTAGCTGCCTGACTGGGGAAGGCGGAGGGGCAACATCCCAGGCTCTGGGAGAGGCCCCAGAAGAACTCTGGCCCAGCCTGGAACCTGGGTACTGCTCTGAGCCTCAGTTTCCCCCTCCGTCAAATGGAGATAGACATTCTGGTTCTACCAGCCTCACACTGTGGGAGGGCAAGCTGATCTGTGACAGTCCAATGTGCCAACAGAAGCCAGTACAGGCAGTGACTGTGATTCTCTACCTGCTGGCACCAGCCCTCCACTGGGGAGGGAGAGGGAAAGTGAGCAGCATTTCTAGAGTGCCTACTGTGTGGCAGACACTGTGCTAAGTGCCTTTTGACAAATACTGTTGTATTTGATCCTACTCCCGGACTGTCCACGAAAATTCTGTTTTCTTTTCTAAGCCCCATCTCAGCCCTGACATTCCCTGTTCTGAGGCCCCTCCCAGCTCTGACATCCCCTGTTCCGAGGCCCCTCCCAGCTCTGACATCCCCTGTTCTGAGGCCCCTCCCAG